AGGGTAGCCGAACGGGTGTGTGGGGTTGGCTCCCAGCCAAGGGCAAACCCATCACAACACATCTTCTGGAAGGTGACCAACCTCCTGCTGTTGTTTTGCCTTTGGGGTTCAGTGTCCAGCTCCTTCGTCTGTGCTGTGGTCAGGAAGGTGGGAGAAGGGCTGGGTTGAGGACCCGGCTGCCCAGGGACTCTGTCCAGAGACTGCAGCCATCACGTTCTGGGTACGCCCCTCACTTTGCACCGGCAGTTCAGGCTGGGTTACATCAGTTAGTTGCACATGGTGTTTCCTTTAACTCCCCAGGAAAACAGCTTCTGAGCTTCGGGTTCGAGCAGGCAAGACAGCCTGGGGTCACTGCAGGTGGCGGCACAAAGTCTCCTTTTTCTGGCAGAATCAGGCTCTGGCCCCAGATCTTAACTGTACAACAAAACCACATTTAAGTCATTTCCCCTGTCCTGGCTTTTAGTCCAGGTTATAACTCATAAAGCCAAAGGCAGGGTTTCAGCTTGGAGATGATTTACAAGCGCTTGCTCAGCAATAGGCTGGAAATCAAAGTGGTGGCTGCCCGAACAGCTGCAGAGCTGAGCTTAGTTCTTTCGCAGCATTAGCCAGAGTGCAGACAACGTGTCTCCTTACGTGGGACTGACGTGCGCGTTCCAGAGCTGGTTGATTGAAGCAGCCCCTTCGCCTCCTCCCCAGTGTCCAGGAAGGACCGAGCTCCCAGCCGTGACAGTGTCTGGGTGTCTCGTGGCAGCTGTTCCTGTGCCCTGGAGCTCACAGGTCACCATGGGAAGGACCATGGCCACCACATCCCATCCTTGCTGCCGTGATGCCCCTGTCCTGGCAATGCTGCTGGGAAGCACTGGGATGGCAGGTATCGCCTGCTCCCCGGGCAGCGGGCTCCCGCTACCCCCCAGCACTGGGCTCCAGGGGTAGATGGCACTTGCATGGTCATCCTAGAGCCCTGTCGCCAAACCAGGCAGGATCCAAACAAAGTCCCTGAGATATTCCACAGGGCTCTTCCCGCCTGCCACTGGCCAGCCTGGCTGTGCCCTCCTCCCTGCCCACGAGGGGATGTGAGACCCTACCTGGAGTACTGCATCCAGCTGTAGGGCCCCCAACATAAAGAAAGACATGGACCTGTTGGAGCAGGGCTGGAGGAGGCCACGAAGATGGTTGGAAGAAGAAGAGGAGGCTCTGGGGAGACCTAATAGTGGCCTACCCATACCTAAAGGGGCTACAGTGGGGAAACACTCTTTATTAGGGAGTAGAGTGACAGGACGAGGGGTGAGGGTTTGAAGCTGGAAGAGGGGAGATGGAGATGAGATGTGAGGAAGAAATGTTTTCCTGTGCGGGGGGTGAGGCAGTGGCCCAGGGTGCCCAGAGAAGCTGTGGATGCCCCATCCCTGGAGGGGTTCAAGGCCAGGCTGGATGAGGCTTTGGGCAACCTGGGCTAGTGGGAGGTGTCCCTGCCCATGGCAGGGGGTGGCACTGGGTGGGCTTTAAGGTCCCTTCCACCCAAACCATCCTGTGACTCTATGGACCAAGCCAGCATCCACGTTACTCTGGAGATCCCACGATGGCCAAGGGCAGCAGCTCCTTTGCCATGT